AATGAGTATGGACCCATTCGAGAAATCGACACAATCATCGGGGGTCCTCATGTAGGTGGGGAATCCAGGAACTCCCAAAAGAGTTATGCCAGGGAAGCAATAGATCCACCCATGACGAGCTATGTCGTAAATCAACCCACAAGTAGAGGAAGTTCACCTTCAATCACTTTTACACAGGAGGACGCCCTAGGAGTGCATTACCATCACTGTGATGCATTGGTAATTAGGGCTATCATTGCTCGTAACGGCCTGTAAAGAATGCTGGTTGACAACGGAAGCTCAGTCAACATTATATTTGGTACCACCTTTGATAAAATGAAGGTGGATCACGAGCTGTCCCCGGTAAATTCTCCCCTGTTCGGATTCACGGGAGATAGTATTATCCCTAGGGGAAAAATCACCCTGGCAATAGAAATAGGAATCGAACCTCTCATTGCTAGGCGGTTTATGGAGTTCCTCATAGTTGACAACCGATCTGCCTATCATGGGGTGCTGGGAAGACTTGCCCTGAAAGATTTATGGGCAGTAACCTCGATTCATCACCTATGCGTAAAATTCCCCACTGATGGAGGGATGGCAACAGTCCGAGGTGACCAACGAGGATCTCAGGAATGCTATTCCAACTCCTTAAGGAAAGCAGAACCGAGGACTACCAATGTCATATCTACCGATGTTGATATGGATGACCCCTCTGAACAAGAGATGACCCCCGAAGAAGGGGAATACGTTTTCATGACCGAAGCCTTTGAGAAAAGGACTATGGACGAAGCTACTAGTTTGGAAGAACTAGACCCCTGCATCATAGATTGCGAACCTCAAACGGCTCCGATCGAGGAATTGGAAACCTACTCAGCTGATCCAAAGGACCCATCAAAACTCTTACGAGTAGGCACCAACCAACCGCATGAGGTAAGCGAAGGACTGAAGAGCTTCTTGCAAAAGAACCTCGACGTATTTGCCTGGAAGCACAGTGACATGATTGGCGTCGACCCCAAGGTCAGCTGCCGTCACTTGAACGTTGATCCGAAAGTCACAGCTCATTGACAAAAGACAAGAGCCCTCAACCCAGAAAGGTATGAGGCACTAAAAGACGAAGTCAAGAGGCTGATTGACAACGGTTTTGTCAGGGAATCCATGTATCCGAAGTGGATTTCCAATCCAGTTCTGGTGAAAAAGCCAAATGGAAAATGGAGGGTATGCATTGACTTCTCAAACTTGAACCAAGCATATCCTAAAGACAGCTTCCCCCTCCCAAGGATAGATCAACTCGTAGATTCAACTGCAGGGCACGAACTCCTCAGCTTCATGGATGTATACTCTGGGTACAACCAAATCCCTATGTTCCCGCCAGATGAGGACCATACCTCATTCATCACGGACAAAGGGCTTTACTGCTACAAAGTCATGCCTTTCGGATTAAAAAATGCAGGAGCAACGTTCCAGAGGCTAGTTAACAAAATGTTCGCCGACCTCATTGGCAAATCCATGGAAGTTTATGTGGACGACATGCTGGTCAAAAGCCAAAAATTGGCAAATCACGTCACTGATTTAAACGAGGCTTTCCAGATCTTGCGAAAATATCAAATGAAGCTCAATCCTTTAAAATGCGCTTTTAGGGTGTCTTCCGGCAAGTTTCTTGGTTACATAGTTAGTCAAAGAGGCATTGAAACAAATCCCGAAAAGATCAGACCTTTGATTGAAATGAGATCACCCAA